TAGCATGAGGATGGACTGTTAGTGTTCAGCCCACAGATGATGGCTCATCTTCCAGGCTTATCCTCATCTCATTTCATAGAGGCTGTGACACAAACCTATTTACTCAAACCTTCCATTATATACAGCAGTGTCTTGACATGATCCGTTTTGAAAGTGAGCTAATGAGATACTCAAGCTTATCTTATTATTCTAAAGTATAAAATAATACAAACAATGAAGACCACTAGATATGGAACAGCATTTTTATACAAATAAAATTTAAAACACCGTCTGTACAGATTTTCACTTGTAACAGAAAGACTACCTACTCAATTTATCTGATCATATGACTGCTTTGCTTTTACATTTTTCCTTAAAAATTTTATAGTCAAGACTGCACTAATTTACTTTACCAAATACATTGATGATAATCTTCCTTCCTCTTCAAATGTCATAATTATTTCTTCCTTTCTTTTTTAAAAAACTGTTTTTATTAATTTTAGGCGGGGGGGGGGGGGTGTACAACGATGTGAAAGAGAAACATCAATTGGTTGCCTCTCCACCAGGACCGAATCTACAGCCTGGACATGTGCTCAGACCGAGAATTGAACTGGCAACTCTTCAGTGCCCAGAACTATGCTCAACTGAGTCACACTGGCCATTGCACCTTTTTTCTTTCAAACCATGAATAGTATGCAAATATACTAAAATTTAAGCCAGAAATTCACTTATAGGCAAACATTTTAAGCATTATTTCCGCTGTGACCAAAGAAATATCTTGGTCTCTATTCATATTTATAAAAAATGTGTATCATTATCTCTGATTAATTTATCTTTTACCTTTTGACTTCTAGCTGTTGCTTCCAAACGTCACCTCATTTGTTTATTGACATTAATGTACTGCTAGAGAACTACGCTCCAAGTATAAAATGATAGATGCTAAAATAGTGTTTTGGCAATAGCTAATATTCTGTTAAGGGTCACTGACAAAGTTTTCATAGTGGCTAAAAAAAACCCAACACTCTTCTGAAGTACCAATATTAAATGTGCTAACGGGGATTGGGGGACTAGATGAAGCACTGATAAATGTGTGTAAATGGCTTTGAAAATGACTGTCATTAATAGCATTCTCTTAATACCTTAAGTAGAAAATGAAAAGCCAAACATTTATTATTAATATATAGGGTAACCAAATGTAATTCTTTTTTTTATATATATATTTTATTGATTTTTTACAGAGAGGAAGGGAGAGAGATAGAGAGTTAGAAACATCGATGAGAGAGAAACATCGATCAGCTGCCTCCTGCACATCTCCTACTGGGGATGCGCCCGCAACCCAGGTACATGCCCTTGACCGGAATCGAACCTGGGACCCTTCAGTCCGCAGGCCGACGCTCCATCCACTGAGCCAAACCGGTTTCGGCCAAATGTAATTCTTATTGACTTCCTGGTTAGTATTATTATATTTGCAAATATGAGTTTTTGGTATTTAATTAATTCCTGGAAAGCACCAAAAAAATAAAAACACTTCTGCAAATGCTTTGTTATACATTGGCTCAAAGCTAATCACTCCAAAGGGAAGGGAGAATATTAACTGTCTAAATGTATATATTTTAGGGTCTTATTTCAAGCAGTTTAAATTGAGAGGATCCTGTAATTATACTCACAGAGTCAGGGGCATGTTGTTATCTATTACTAGCCACTGGGAAGATCATTTATCTTACCAAAATGCTGAGGTAAAAGAATTATAAAAAACTAAGTCAGTTGACAATGCTAGTAACAATGGGTCATCTGGCTTCAAATTTTAATGGATAGTCTGTATGTTCTCTCTTGTTAAGGAAATCCTGGTACAATGTTGGTGGGAATGTAAACTGGTACAGCCATTATGAAAAACATTATGGAGGTTCCTCAAAAAATTAAAAAGAAAATACCATATGATCCAGCAATCGCACTTTTGGGCATACATATATAAAAAAAATTAGGATCTCAAAGAGACATCTACCCTCCCACATCAGACATATAGTTATGTCAACAACCTAAATGTTAGTCAACAGATGAATGGATAAAGAAAATGTGGTATGTGTCTGTGTATGTGTGTGTATGTGAATACCATTAGATATACCATTATAATGGATTATTACTCAGCCTTAAAAAGGAGGAAATACTAACATTTGCAACAATATGAAAGAGCCTTGAGAACATTGTGCTAAGTGAAATATACCAGACACAGAAAGACAAAGTGTGATCTCAATTATATGTGGAATCTAAAATAGTCACATGCATAGAAGCAGAGTACAATGGTAGGTACCAGAAACTGAGGGAGGGGGATATGGGGAGATGTTGATCAAAAGGTACAAAGTTTCAGTTATGCAAGATGAATAAGTTCTGGAATTCTAATGCATAACAATGTGGCTATAGTTAACAATACTTTATTGTATTGAAATTTGTTAAGAAGGTAGATCTTAAGTGTCACTACAAAAAAAAAAAAGTGATACCTATCTGAAGAGGTAAATGTTAATTAGCTTGAATGTGGTGATTATTTCACAATGTAAATGTATATTAAATCATCAAGTTGTATACCTTAATATATACATTAATAGAAATGTATACAATATATACAATTATCAAATATATCTCATAAAAATGTCAAAACTCTTATGTTATGGTAACAAGTTTGGTTTTTCTCTAAGTCAATAAAACACTGTACTTCATTTTAAAATCTGAATGGTAAAATGAGAAAGATAAAGGCTGAGAACAGGTTTGAATACGGTTTATAAAATTAGGAATGGACAAACATGGGTTTACTAATTGATTTGAAAATATCTTAGAACAGGAGTTACAAATTCATTCCACAAACCAAACCCAGACTGCCCCTTAAATATGTTTTTTTAAAATTTTCTAATGGCAAAAAAAAAAAAATCAAATCAAAGGAAGATTATTTTGTGATACATGAAAATTATACGAAATTCAACTTTTCATGTCTATAAGAAAACAGACCTTTATTGGACCCTGGGCACACTCATTCATGTATGTATTGTCTATGGTTGCTTCCACACTACAATGGCAGAGCTGAGTAACTGCAACAGAGACCTACATGGTGCTCTCATTGCTTTGCATTGCTGCCTAGCACATTACAAATTATAGTGATGTAGTTCATAACTACTAGCATTTTGAATGGCACATAGATTGTCATACCACAACATTTTAAAGTTTTCAGTACATACCAATAATGTCAGAATATGAGAGAAAGAGAGAGAACTTCAAGTGTCATATGTTTAAGGCACAGTGAACAATGGATTATTTTGTTATTGAATTAGATGGCAAAGCATTGTTTAACATGCAGTGACACTGTAGTTGTTTTGAGATATATATATGAATTACCAAACTAAGTATACTCAATTTATAGAATGCAGTGACCAGAGAAATTATAAAATTAAAACAAGGTATCTCATCACAGCAGAATTTATTTACAAAAATGAAAATAAAGCTGTAAAGTAAGTTTTGGAGTGGCTCATTTGTTAGCCAAGCAAAGAAAGCCTTTTCACCAACGGTGAGTTCATTACATTATTTTTGATTCATCAGCTGAAGAGATGTATCCAAAATAAACTTGCTTAAGACTATTAGCTGTTTGTCAAGAACAGTTGCTTGAAAGAATTGAGAACACTGGGAACATCAATGTAGTCAATAAAAACAAACAAGGCAAATCAAATGATTCTGAGTGGTTTCCCATGGTTCTTGATGAATCAAAGATGTTACTGATACTGCCTAGTGATTGTTGTTTATTTGATAAATCAATGCCAAGGTTGAAGTGTCTGAAGAGTTAGTGTCCATGAGTACTATGTGTGAAATAATTAAAGGCAAGAATATTTTCTAAGAAGTTAAGAAAACATGATTTCAGGACAATCTGAAGAACTTGCTAAGATGTGTTAGAACTGGTGATGGTAAAAATATGTGTGGAGCAAAAAGAAGACTTAGTTGGTCAAATTTACAAAGATTGTAAAAATATAAAGTGTTAAAATCCATGGTTATTTATGTATTATTCATCAGCAGGTACTCTGTGGAATATATCTGACTCAATCTTTTGTTATTGAACTAGTATTGTCATCTAGCAATTTGCTAGCTTAGCAGTGGTAGTTTTACTGTTTTTGAGCTCAGAGCTGATATTGAAATTTTTCTGAAGAAGAAATACCCTCAACCACTATTCTGAAACACTAAAGGGCTTAGGAATTTAGCTTTTGTTGCAGACTTGACAAATGCTTTTTTATGAATTCAACCCAAAATAATTTAACCAGTTCAGCATAATGAGAACAGTTATCCCCACTGTATGTGGGATTCACTGAAATTCAAGGAAAGTCTCCAGACTCCATGAAAGTTCTAGAGCCATGATTCTCAAAAGGGAGCCCTCAGACCACCACCACCAGCAGCCACACCTGTCTGACTACTTATTAGAATCACAGATTCTACTGAATTGAAAGCTCTGGGAGTGGAGCTAAACAGTGTTTATATAGGAAACATACTTACGTAATTCTGATGACAACTACATTGTTTGAATTATGAAGTAACTAACATCAAGCTTATCTTATCAAAAGGTAAGATAATAAGGGAGCTATCTGTTTTCACATAAATCTGCAACAGATTTTCTAAGCTCAAACTATAGGTCCAAGTGGATTTTTTTGGACCCTGATGCAAGTATAAAGGAAATTTCCATTTCCCAATAGCCATTCAGTTGTGCAATCGAGGAGCCTCCACCTAACATTCAATTGGAAGTGATTAATCTGCAATGTAATAACATGCTAAAAGAAAATTATCAGGAGAAGAAGGAATGTAATAGAATTCTATCAATGCCTTCCAAGTGATAAATATGCTAAATGAGAATCATATTCTTCTCATGAATTAACATATGTATTTGGCAATACCTATCTGTATTTCATAATATTTCATATTTTTCTTTAAAACCTACAAATGTCTTAATAGGTTAAGACATTTCCACCATTATAAAAACCACACAACACAAAACAAAATCAATTCTAACATATAACCCCACAAAAGCACACTGATTTTATTATAGAACATACATTAAGTCACTGAGTAAAGCTCTTTTTTATGAACACGTTTGGAAAGCTCCCATTGAACTCGAGCACAGCTCTATTGTCAATCTGAGAGCAGAAGGACACATCAAGTAGAGAAAGATCTTTGCATGATTCCAGGAGTTTTCTTAAGGACATCGGACTTACCATTCTTGTTCCTGTTCAAAAAAAAACAAAACCACATAAAACACTTTAAATAGAATATTTATGTAATGTTCTAATAAAGAGTCCCTTTATTACTGATTGTTTAAAATACAGTTCAAATAAATTGCCTTTTAAAAATTAAAAGCATTTCTTAAAAGACTTCATTTCTTAAAAGACTTATAGTCCTGTAAACAAATATGCACTGAATTTTCCCAGCCAATTTGGCATCTCCTGTCAATACTTTACCCACTATCTTCATTCCCACCTCCTGCCCCTTCTAATCAGCTCCTCCAGACTTTCCTATTTCTGTCACCCCAGTTCAAAACCATTTGAATCTCTTTTTCTTAATCCATGGCAGCTATGCTTACAACCTCTAATTAGATTCAACCTCTAATTCCATGCAATGCAATTACTGAGCAACTACCCTGTAGAAACTTGTTTCAAGCACTGGAGATTCAAGAAACCCAGTGACCAGGGTTGAAGGCTATTAACTACAACACAACTTGATAAGTTTATGGCAAGTGGTGGGTGTAAAATGGCAGTACTGGAAGACAGATGATGGATGATGAGTACTAGTTAGCCCATGTTAAATTTGAAGTAATTATGGGATATTCAGATGGAAGCTAAATCATCACTAGGTTATAAGATGTCATCCGTTGGAACATACCTTTCTTTAACTACAGCTTTACTAGGGGAAAAATATCACAATTGTATTACATAATACATCTACTGGGATGGGGATTAAAGTTTCTGAAATGTTAACCCATGACTTTTTTCTGAGAACTCCTTTCTCCTCCCCTCCCTGACATGAGCTGTGGAAGCTGTAACTACAACTGCTACCCATGCTGTGACTGGCCCCTCACCAAACCAATACAGATTCTCCTGAAAATTTATCATTGGAATTCAGTAAAGCCTTCAGTGTCCATATATCCTTCAAACTAAAGACATGGAGAACCGGGTTGGGTCTGTTATATTTGGCCATGTCTACTTAGAGAAGCAGAGATAACATGCATGACGAAAGAACAAGGCAAACCAAAGTGAGAACCAGACATAAAGACTGTGAGCATACAGCTGCAGAGGTCGGGATAGAGGGCAGGAAAAAGGAAGGGAAAACAGAAAATAGCTTCTTTGCTTTTTGATGGTTTTCCAGTCCCTCCTGAGGCTGGACCATAGCTAGCTCCTACTGATGCTGGACTTACCATTGCATGATTCTGAGGGAGATGGGATCTGAGGGAGACACCTGTATCTTCATAATAATTTTTTTTCTTATGCTTAAGTTATCTTGAGTAGGTTTCTGTTATGTAAGACCAGAGAACGTCAACTAAGACACTTGGCTATGTGGTTTTTTTTGTTTTGTTTTGTTTTTTACCTAGGATCATGATTATTTTATCTTTGCCAGTCTTGGTCATTACAATCTGAGTTTCCTGGTAAGTTAGAAGTTCCTAAGAGAATGCCAGGGAAGGAAGTTGGAGAGTGAAGATGTAACTAGGCTAGGGTCCCCATCCTAGGTTTCCAAAGCACTTCCTATCAAACCAAGCAGTCTTATCAGGACAACATTTTTATTGTATCCAAGTTTTATGTTTTTTGGTGTGTGTTCTTTTTTTGCAAAAAGTCTGAGATCAGCTCTAATGTCAAGGCTTTAAAACAAACTGATATATTGCATCCTTACCTAGTATGTCCAGTTGCCGTAATCTGGTACAATTACATGCCAGTTCCTCAATGTCTGTGTCACACACAGACCTGTTGGCCGTAAGAAAGAGTTTTTGCAAGTTTGGGAGGTGGCGTGCCAGTTTGGCAAAGCACCCGGTGCTGCTCTGCAGAGTAGGACACCAACCGAGGTCAAGTTCCTCCAGGAGCGGACACCCAGATGCCAGCTCTGCTATCCCATTCTCAGTGATGTTCTTGCAACGCCACAGATCCAGGGTGCGCAGTTTTTTACACTTGGCCCCTATCATGCTGGCGATCACATCATAGTCTTCAATCTGGAAGTCAAATAATTCCCATCTTTTACATATTATGCTCAGAAATACGAACAGTTTAGAGAGCAAGTTAAAACATTCTTAATCATCCCCTGTTGTTTGCTTCCATGTAAACATACCCACATTCTCATTAATATAGATCTGCCCACTCATCTCACAGACCTGCCACTGTTTCATAAGACAGCAAGAGTAATCACTTACTTAAAAATCTATTTAACAGAACTCCAGACAGAGGACGTTAATGAATGAAATCCCAAAGCAGTCTGAAATCCTCAGTCTCTCATGAAGAATTTGAGGATTCTGAGCTGCTCTTGTATGCCTCCCAGTTTGATCTTGCTGCTGCTACTCACTGACAAGGTCTAGCTTCTTATATTTTAGATATAATTAATCAACTTTGGGAGATATATAAGATCTCCCTGATAAAGGTGTACACTTTACTAGGCTCTAAAACAGTATGTGAATATGTTGTTAGTACTAATAAGGATATTAGTTTTGGGTGAAAGTAGACATTTGGGGACTGAATATACAACACACAAAAAATTTAGATTATGTATGTTCATTACTGTCATTTATAGGAGGTATCCAATGATTTAGCTCAAGGTCACAGGATAAGCCTTTACTAACCAAGGATTAAACATTTAAGTTCATGGGCTTTATATGCTTTAATAATGTTTCTTTAAATAGGTGCTTAAATTTTAAGAGGTTCATTTGATTTTGTTATAATCAGGTATCAAAATTGTCACCAGAAGTCAAAAGGAAACGAAATAACAAACACTCAGATAATTTCCTTTTGTTTATTTGTTAATCATATTCTCCATTACTACTCGCCAGCACCACTCCAGATGCTAGGAACAACAGTGAGCCAACAAACACTGTGTTCACATTTTTAGGAAAGACATACAAATAATGAGCAAAATAAACTCAGAGAGCGGTAAGTGGCATGAAGGTAGTAAAGAGGGGGGTGTGAGAGCAATCGGAGAGTCAGGAGTTAGCTGAGGGAGGGCGAGGTGCTGCTGTGATCACCAGGGTGAGCGCAGTGCATTCCAGGGACAGAAATGAGATCGGCGTGGGCCTGGGGAGTGCAGGACAGGACAGGCTGGGAGGGCAGAGAGTTATGCTGGGGCCAGGCCATTAGGCCATGAAGGCATTTGATTTTTATTTTAAGTGCTAAGGAAATCAATGGAGGGTTAGAAACAAATGTGATTTATATGAAAACAAACAAAAATCCCTCTTTATTCTATCTGAAAGAGAGCCTATGGTGGGTAAGAATGGGGGAGGAGGCCCAGTGAAAAAGCCTGCACTAGCTTAGAGGAGAGATGACAGGGGTTTGGGTTAAGGAAGTAACAGAGGAACTGGAGAAGTAGACAGATTTGGGGCTATATTTTGAGTCAGAACCTAAGGCTTATGGACTAGATATAGTGGTGATAGTCTCTGGTCTTTAGCAACTGCATATGGTAGAGTCATGTAGAAGCCATGAGAAACAGATTGGGGAGGATATAACTATTCACATCAGTGAGTGTACCTGAATAACACAGACCTGTAGTGCAGCCAATTTGCTTCTTTAGAAAGAAACATTCAAAACTTTCTGAAACCCATGATTCTGATTGCTATTATTTTGATAGTCAGAAATAAAATAGCAAGCTGACCTTTTGGTCAATTGACAGAAAAGAAACTGAGATAAACATAGTATTAAAGTATCAACAAAGAGTTATCTCTGTTGTTGTCCTGGTAAACTCTGGACCTGCTGTGAAGTAAGAACTATGGCAGGCATGAAATATTTTGATTAGGATGGTAGTAGCAATATTAGCATTATTTCTGAACTTTAATGTCAAGTCCTTAATATTTAATTTCCTGACAACAAATATCAATGGTAACAATATTTTATTAGTAATTACATACTTTAAATTAAAAGTAGCTTATTTTTCTAAAAGAGCATTTACCATAGTGTATTACATATTAATAGAAGGAAAATCTAATGCTGAATTAGTGGGCTCACAACACCGTATCCAGAGACCAGGGTGGGCCTGAGCCCATAGTTAGACTTTAATCAGGCCTAACCACCAGAATTTAAAACTACAGGGACATGGAGACTAATATGTCATTTTAATTGGCCTCTCCAGCCTACATTGCCAAACCTTGAGGCATCTCTGAAGCCACTGCTGAGCTCTAAAAGATGTTCAATGGGATCTATTTTCTGGTCAGTGACTGTCCCTGTTGATTCCAAATCTAGAAACCTCTCTGGAATCTTGCAACCATCCTGCTTATTCTGATCTTCCTAATAAGTGGATGCAAAACTGAAATAGTTGGGGATCCTCTAAATCTGCCTTGCAGAGGAATGGACTGCTTACAACTATACTGGGAGATGCATTTCCTGGAAATGTGAGCATACATGCATGACACACACACATAACGAAGAATTCTATAGTCCCTTGAGTGTCAATATTATTTATAAGTCACGTAATTTAGATGAAAAAGACTTAACTCATCCCATGAGCTCTTTCAATGACCCCTAAAGTACTAATTTTAAATCTGGAAGGACTGTAGAGACTATCTAGTCATACAGTCCCTAGGCTTTTGGATTTCATGGACCAGTAATAATAATAATAATAATAATAATAATAATAATAAAAATAAAATACCTGAGTTCTAACACAGAATATCCACCTTTTTATCTCACCCAGTAAGGCCAGTAAAACAAACAAAACACAAAATAAACCTATCTACTATCATCAACATTTCCAGAAATAATCTCAGAACTTAAAAAATTAATTAAGCTTTGTGAAAAACTCACTCAACTACTGACATCTGAGTATGATTGATCACTCATTTTATAAAGAAACCAGAGAAGTAGATAACTTGTCTACATCTCACTTGAGGCAGAACCAAACTCTTTTGCCACACTATACTTCTCTTCTTGCTCTCATGGCTAAATAATGTCAACATTTCAAAGATATACTCTCCACTTTAAGAAAAATGTTTGAAAGTGGGGTTCAACTGTAAATCAGAAAAGTTGTGGGTGGGGGTGGGGTGGGATGAGTCAGGAAAAAATTCACCCAAGGGAAGAAAAAGAGAATGAGCAACTGAGAATAACAAATTTTCAAATACTTACCATTACACAACTACCCAAACTGAGGTGTTGAAGCTCTGAGCAGAAGTTCAAAATGCTGAGCAGTGCTGTTTGCTGCCCCAGGGACCACATCAGAAGCAAACACAGAAAGTGAAAGAAAGTGAAACAAAGAGAAGAGGTCAATTAGACATTAAAGGCTGTCACTACTTCTCCTGAAACAGAGCTCAAAATCCAGGTTACAGACACCACAAATGCCATTTAATGAGTCCCCAGGTGCTCCCACCATTGATTGGCTGGGAGTCAAGGTAATCATTACCAGTCTCCAAGTAAGTTGTCACTTTGCATGTGGTTTTGCATGCCCTAAAGATACCTATATTCCCCATGACCTCTCATTTTATTTCCCAAACGTAAGCAATTTGAAAATCTGGTTAAGGCTGAACAACAAGACAAGCTAAACAACCTCCCCCTCCAAAAACAAGCAAATAAAAAAAACCCCACAGTGGGCTGGTGACACTCTGAGGAACAGTGGCAGCTCTGACATTCACCGATCAGCAGCAGCCTGATGGAACTGCCAATAGAGTTGCCCGAAATCAGGATTGAGCTGGTGACTTTAATGTCAAAGGATTCTCTCCGCTGACAAGGATCCCAACAACCATTGAACACCTGTCACTAGCAACATGCTGACTGAAACATATATAACGTGCACTTTCTAGTTATGTTCCTGCCATTTCAGCCCATCTATCCTGTGCAATGCAATGAAACGCTCTCATCACTCAAGAAAGCCAAAGAAATGCTAGGCTGTGACATAATCCTGATAACTAAAATATTTCTAAAGTCATAACTTCATTTGATGACATGAAAACTTGTAAAAAAATGCAGAACATTCAAATTTCTAATTTTTATATTCTAAATGAAGAAAAAGGCTACTCCAACTTTGTGGCAAAATTTCTTTCTACATATTTGAACTAAAACATATCTAAGAAAGTTAAGATACTATAAAACCTATGTTTAATCTGTTGCAAGTGTCCAGAATCTGAACAATATTAGTTAGGGAGAGGTTGACAAATATGTCAATGACAATACAAAACATCTGTTCAAACCCAGATAAGATTCTCAATAAGAAAATAAAGTAATGAAATATTTCACATAAAATAAACGTAAGGCAAAAATAAAATAATCCTTGTTATAATCGGCCCTAGAGAGATACTAGACTTAAGACTGGTTCACTATTGGGTGTTTCTTTAAATTTAAGAAAAAAGTTTATATTGATTTCATGCTTAAGTTTTAATACAACTTATAACATAAAAGGCAATCCCATGTAGCTCTCAGAATGTTGGCATTAGAAGAGATATATGAAGATAAGTTAATTTTCAGATTCTCCATAATATTTTAACTTATTAACAGATGGGGAAATGACATGGTTTGTTTTTATTAAAGTATCAGATCCTTACAACAAGATGCTTTGTAAGATTTTCCCATGAGCAAGATCCAGAATATATTAGAGAATTTTTAGAGAGGATTCCATATATTCTTGTAAGAAATTTTAAATTAACACACACACACACACACACACACACACTTTATCATAGAATTTGTTTGGTAATGTATTTTTAAATTACTTACTACAAATAATTTCAAATATACAGACAAGTATAGAGTCCATAAAACAAACATCTGTTTTGCCTTCTTGGCTTATCTTTCTCTATTTGAGTATCTTTCCATCCATTCGTATACTTCCTCAGAGGTAACCTTTATCAGGATTCATTGTTTAAAAACATGCCAAAGATTATATTTTATTATACAGTATGTGTCCATAAATAGCATATAATATTGTTCTCCATGGTTTTTATACAAATGGTATTTTATTATGCATGTACTTCTGCATCCTCCTTAACAGTGTTTGTGAGGGATTTGTCCATGTTGATACTTACAGCTTTAGTTCTGACTTTTTAATTGTCTACTATTCCATTATGCAAATATACTACAGCATAGCCCTAGCTGGTTTGACTCAGTGGATAGAGCATCGGCCTGTGGACTGAAAGATCCCAGGTTCGATTCCATCAAGGGATCAAGGGCACATGCCTGGGCTGTGGGCTCAATCCCCAGTAGGGGGCGTGCAGAAGGCAGCCAATCAATGATTCTCTCTCATCATTGATGTTTCTATCTCTCTCTCCATCTCCCTTCCTCTCTGAAATCAATAAAAATATATTAAATATATATATATATATATATATATATATATATATATATATATATATATATATATATATAAACAGCATACACTTTCACTCAAGGAATAGTTTGCTTACAAGTTCTACCATAACAAAGAATGTTAGAATAAACATTCTTATAGTGCTTCCAGTGCATTTATAGAAGAGTATTTCACTAGAGCACATACTAGAGAAGAATTTCCAGGGGTTTATGTATGGCCGACGTTATTAGATTTTCCAAAATAGCACTCTGAAGTGATTGTATTAATTGACACTCCACCAGCTGTGTAAGAGTGTGGGGTCCCCACATTTCTGCCAACATATAGTCTTCTCATTCTTTTTTATTATCTGTCTGATGAGTATGGAATGGTATAATTTGCATTAGTGTAATTCCTAGTGAGTTTGAAAATCTTTTCATGTTTATGCGCCAGTCATATTTCCTCTTCTGTAAACTGCGTAATCATATTTTTTTATCGTCTAAAGTTTTATGTATATCTCCTTTTTCCCCAATTGACTCACCCCCCGCCCCCCCGGCCCAGCCATTTTTAATCATATTCTTTACTGATGTTTCCATTAGGTCAGTGGTTCTCAACCTTCTGGCCCTTTAAATACAGTTCCTCATGTTGTGACCCAACCATAAAATTATTTTCGTTGCTACTTCATAACTGTAATGTTGCTACTGTTATGAATAGTAATGTAAATATCTGATATGCAGGATGGTCTTAGGCGGCCCTGTGAAAGGGTCGTTCAACCACCAAAGGGGTCGCGACGCACAGGTTGAGAACCGCTGCATTAGGTTGTTTCTTCCTTCTTGACTTATAGGAATTTTTTTTTTATGCTGAATACCAATCTTTGTCAGTTACATGCATTACAAATATCTTCCCTAAATCTAAGACTTGTCTTTTTGCTTTGTTTATAGAATCTTCTGAGACATGAAATTTTAAATTTTAATAGTCACATCTATCTTTACATGTGTATTCTGTTGTCTTTTCAAAAAAGTCCCTCTTTGCCCACAGAAGGATATTCTTCTATTATTATTTTTGAATGACAACTTTAAAATTTTTCTTCTTTGCACTTAGGTTTTAACCCAACTGAAATTGATTTTTATACATGGTAAGGTACCAAATTTCATGGTTTTCTCCTTAGGAATAACCTCTTGTCCCAGTTCAATTTACTGAAGAGTCTATCTTATTCACTGATTTGTGATGCTTTCTGTCATATATCAAGTTCCCTTGTATGTGTGAGTCTACTTCTGGGTCATTGTGTTTCACTGGTCTACTTGCCTTTTCCGACGCTAACACTTCAGTCTTAATTATTATACACGCAGGCAGGAAAAGGGAGGCCCACGAAGAGAGAAACAGAGGCCTCTGGCCAACAGCTCTAAGAGGAACTCTGCCAACAGCCACATGTAGTAAGTCTATAAATCTAGTAAGGAGAATACCCTTTCTTCATTCTGTAAAACACTAAAGAGCCTTTTGCTCTTTCATATTTTAGAATCATCTTAAAATATTTTAGTTTACCTTTTAAAAAATATGAAAGATTCGTTTTTCTTTCTTCCCCCATGATCATTATTTAATTTACTGGCACTTTATCAATTTCTGTGTCATTATCATTTATTATATCTGACACCCTCTTCCTAAAATGTTCTTGTTGAAAACTATTTTTAATAGTTCTTTTAGTGAACATCCATGAGTGGTAAAATATTAACAACAAACATATACTGAGTAGTTATTAACATGTCAGCATTGCTGTAAATTCTTTTTCTTAAAATATTCTTTAAATTGTTGACAGTATTACAGATATCTCCCATTTCCCCCCCTTTAACCCCCTCTGCCCACCCCCTACCCCCCGCCCCCAGGGCTTCATCACCCTAATGTCGGTGTCCATGGGCAGTGCATATAAATATATTTGGTTTATCTCTCCTTGTCCCCCCACCCCTACATCAAGGTATGCCTCCCTGCCTCAGGTCTTATTTTGCTAGTCAATTCATTTTGTTCATTAGATTCCACAAATAAGTGAGATTATGTGATATTTGTCTTTCTCTGATTGGTGCTATAAATTCTTTATATAAATTAATCCTCACAACACCCTGTTCATTTAATAAATATTTATTGAATGCCTACTATGTGTTAAGTACTGTTCTGGCACTTGGGATATATCAGTCTACATGGCAGAAAATAACCTATAAGGTACACATCATTATTCCTATTTATAGATAAGGAATCTGAATCACAGAAAGTTAAATAATATATTGAGCCTTTATATATCTCCTCAATCTAGAATGAAAGTTTAGCCAGGCGTAACATGGATTCCAGTTATCTTCTTTTATCATTTTGAAAGTTTTGCTCCATTACCTATCAGCCTCCATTATTTTGATAAGAAGTCTACTGTCAGTCTAATTATCTTCCTCTGTAAGTAATGTCTTTTCTCTCTGATAGCTCTTGTCCCTTTCTCATTTATATTCTGCAATTCCATCACATGTCTAGGTAAAAATTTATTTTAATTTATCCTGTTTGGTATCCCAAGTGAACATTTATTTGAAGACTTACATCTTTTTTCATGAACAATCAAGATTCTTAACAATTCTCTCTTCAAATATGGCTTCTCCATCATTTTTTCCATTTTTTTCTTCTGGAACTCTAATTAAATGAATTTTGGAGAAGGGAGGCCCACGAAGAGAGAAACAGAGGCCTCTGGCCAACAGCTCTAAGAGGAACTCTGCCAACAGCCACATGTGTGAGCTTAGAAGCTGATCCTCCAGGTGCAGCCAAGCCCTGAGATGACTGCAGCCTTGGCAAAAATGGCTGCAACCCTGTTGGGAAGCCTGAGCCAAAACTGCCCAGACAAACACTCCCAGACTCCTGACCTACAGAAATTGTGTGCCATCGTGAACATGGGGTGTTT